AGTTCTGTTTCAGCACTTTGATGCGATCAAATAAAATTTATGCTAGACTTTGCATTAGTCAAATAACTAAGAGTGGAACTTGAGCGGAAGTAAAAAACATCAGAGCTTTTATCATAGCATCTTTACGGCATAATTCCTGTTTCGTATTTAAACAATATTTCCAGTGAGTTCACACGTAAAAACCACTTCAGTTATTCGATTTTGAGATGAACGATGTTGTCTTCCGAGAATTTTATGAATTTGTTTACTTCGAATGATGCACTTCATATCAATGATTAATAAAACTTTCCCAAAGACGGTTTATCGGATGGGGTAATCTGTACGTCTGAATACTGAAAGATAAAGATATTCTCGCTCAAATCGGTCAAAAGCATGCGGCGGTTGTAGTCGATGAATTGTTGTGTAGCACTAATAATTTAGTTTATAATTGTGCTCGTATAAAGTGTGCACAGTCGTTTACGTAATGTTTATCAAATAGATTGCCGATTAGATGGTAAACAGCAAAATTGAGTATGATTGGTGTATAATTCAGTATGATTATATTGATAAAATTATGTAGAACATAGAAAATTACACATGTAATTGTATATGAAAATTGTCGATTATTTCAAATTATTGTGCATAATGGTACTATAATTATTGCTGTCGAAATTTGACTCCATGTCTATCGCACTTGCACGCTCATATGTTGGTGCATAGAAGTTTGATCTGGATCCGGCCATTTCTCTGACGCTGCTGCAGTTCAAGCATGGGCGTTGTGAGGTCATTTGGCATGAAAAGTTACTGCAAGAACAGTGAATATGCGTTTTCGTTGAAGGATGCATTCGGTTTCAAATCCTTATTTTTCACGTTTGTGAGGTTAAATAATATTTGACCATGTGCTCAGTCGGAATCGAACTCGATCGATTGATCATTTTTATTGTTGTTAAATGTTGAACACAGCCTTCCTGGCAAAGAGCAGCCTTCCGGTTTTGCTAGTCGGATGGTGACAAGCCAGCCCTAAACATCACCAGGTATTTTACGTCATACCACTGTTACTGCGTTGTACTGGAAGCCGGCAATCAATTGCAACCGTTGAAACACCCTCCCAACAAGAACTGGACCACTATTCTTATGCGACCTTACCATGCGAAATCCCGATGCACCGGTCACTTGAGCAGCTTGGGCAACGTGTTAAGTGATCCTATCGATTCCAAGGATCTCCTTGAGCATCTGCTTGAATACGAATCCTAACCGAACAAGCACATCAAGCAGCAAGATATCAAGCTCAGAGATAGCGATGAATTTCACTGCTTATAAAAAGTATTTTTTGTTCTGTACCTCCTGTAATCGTACTTTTTATGAGTAATTATTCGAAAGCTTTCCTGCACTTTACCTTACTGCGCTTCGCATCGTTCATTTGTGCACCGTTCTGAAATGCGCTTGGCATAGTGTAGTAGAGTGTAGAAATACGATTAAGTTTTGGTATAGTGACATAATTGATGTGCAGAAAGGATTTTGGGCATCGAGAGGAATTGAATTGATTCTCACCTAGTCACTCCCAGGCGTTTTTGTTTCCCAAACAATTTGTTTCCCGAACGGGGTTCTTTTCCTGAACACTTTACTCCCCAATGAGACCCAAAAAGCTGCTTTCCGACGAGTTCTTCATCACCGCAAAAGATTGTTCCCCGATGAACATGATTATACATTCGCAACACCTTTCCTGCGTTTTCAATTCAGCGATGGGCTCGTCGGCAAAACCTGTGCTTTTAGGCATCCGCTTCGTGTAGGATTTGACCGACCATGAGAGCCGCCTGAATAATTGAACTGTAGTGGTTTTGTTCGAAGAGTTTATTTTTAATGAATGCTATAATTTTTTAAATAAATGCTGTAAAAAAAGCTCCATCTTTCACGTGTACATCACGCTGTGTATAGCAAACATATTGGACGGATAAGTTGTTGTTTTAGCGAATGTTCTTCATTTGTGAATATTTTGAATCTTCACGCTGTTATTAGAAGCTAAGTGGTTGAAATTTTCTAGTTGCTTGGTTAGTAATGCAATTCTGACAGTAATGGGATGGAAGTGGGATAATCTATTCGGAAGGAGTCCATTCTGAGTAATTCGCAATTTTCAACAATTGATGAACACAACAACGTATGATAGTCTTTAAACAATTATGAATGGAAGTGAGACTAATTCCACTTTTTGAGGAAATGTTCGCAGTGTTCTGCTCAATATTGTTGTTGTCAATCCATGCGAAGCGTTATTTGCTTGGTATTCGAGTTATTAAAATTAATTTTTGAAACATCTCAACGCTAAGTTCTTCCAGTTTTGATATGTTAGAAATTGGTTTTGTCAGTGAGCGTTTATATCTGGTTTGTTTACGTTCATTTTTCGTCTTATGTTTGATAGAGTTCAACAAAGACTGCTGACTATCAGTTAATAATGTTGTTGACAAATTCGTCGAATTATTTCCGATCATTTGTCTCACTTTCTTAATGCCGCATAAAGATGTTGTGCTACATTCAGTTATGAGCAATTGTTTTCTCATCGCTTGCAGTTACTTTCCTCAGTGTTTCCTTACTATATCCTCGGCTTCTTATAAGCTCTACCAATTACACTTTAAATGTACTCCTTTTGTTAGAATGTGTATCTAAGAAACCTTATTCATTTGTCAAAATATTATTTTTTGGCTCCATAACATCGTCAGATGTAAGCAAAAAATATTCTCACGATATTATCTTCGAATGAATATCAAACATTGACATTTCACTGCAATGACATTTTATTCAATTTCTTTTGGGTTAGTTTACATTACTATGTGAGTGACAACTATAGACAACCTTGAGTATGCACCTGGCCCATTGTTACTAATTCCTACATGTGTTGGAATCGTTTGAATTATTCCGTGAATTAGTTTTCTTGATTTCTTCGTTCTCGCTTTCACTTATTCTGACTGAGTTCGCAGTCTGGTTGGAAAAATTTGATCGAGCTTTTACTCGCAATTGGCTTGAAGGTATTCTTTTAAACCACTGTTTTACTAATGAACACGTTAAAACGTCGAAATGGGAAATGATTGATTGTACCTTTGTTGAGGTCGATGTTTTTTTCAATTGTGGATGAATGCAACTGCATGAATCATTAACCATTGAAGTCTTTGTTCTAATATTACATTTCAATGCAGTCTTTTGATGAGGAAAGCATCGGCATTTATTGACTGTAATGGGAGAATGATTAGCATAATGGACTGAAGGCGTAAAATTTCACTTAGTCACTCATTTAGATGAAATCAAGTAATTTTGAACGCAAATAGCAGTTGAATATTTTTCCATTTTCAGTCCTTCGACTCTGTTGACATGTTGATTCGACTCACCAGATTACTTAGTTCGGGGGTCGTAGAATTTTGAGAGTCCTCACGCGAGGGCGATCTTCGATTGCAAAATTTCTTCTGTACTTTTTCCATTGTTTACTTAATTCTTCACGAATTAAGTAAATAATTCTTTACAAATTGATTGAAAAACAAATCTCTTCTCAGTGTCTTATTCCTTCTGTGTTTTTTAGTCTTTCGCTAGCCAGGGTACTTCGTTTCACCCATTTTAGACACGGAACTTTCATTTTTTAGCTAGCCGGGAATTGGGATCGATCTCGTTTTATATAACTATTAATTCACGTAGGTTTTGCTCCGCAGCTGAACAAAAACCGGCTGCGTAATTACGCAAAGCAACAGTTACGTTCTCTGTTGCAAAATTCATTCACACAAATTCTGTAACGGAGATACGTGTCTTCTCTATCCAACTCTTTTTTTGCTACTTTTGTAGTCTTCAATCACCTCACATTCCCTAAACATTTGTCCACATGGTTTTGTATTCACATAAACATTGAGTTCATTGGCCACAGTGTCGTATTTAAATCATTTCTCCGGAAATGCTTCTTGTCTGTATTTGTTAACATACTCCATTCTTTTGTGTTCGTTGAATTTGAATGAATTGTTGCGATTTCGAAAGTTGTTCCGTGAATGTTGATTGGTCTTATGCATAGAACATTCAAAGGGAGTTCTTGATCGTTGATGTTAATAGAAATCGGGCGAAACAATCGTTTTGAAATCACTCTCGACGAATTTGAAGATTCAATCTTCAAATAAGTAGCGCAATAACGAATCTGATTGCTGTATTTTGCTATTCACGTTTTTGCTAAATATGATCATTTGTGTTTGTAATCGTCATGCGAATTGTTTTGATGCTTACATCTGTTTTATTCTATCCGATGAACAGTTTATTTTTTATTAAATCTATTATTTTCAGGCATCGTCGNCTTCTGATTCACCGTTATTTACCGTGGTGCATGCAGCAAGCCGTGAACGGGCGTTTTTTGTTAGCGTTCGATTGGGAAAATCACTTCGAGAAACAGATCAGTGAAGTGCAGTCAATGTGTTCAATTGAAGCGTTCAGTGATTAAAAGCTCAACGAGTGCAATCCGCTTTTATAATATCACTTCAGCAATTTTGTAAATTCTCCTCGTCCGGTGATAATTGCGCACTTATCCTTATTATATGTAGATTGGTTCGGATTTAAGTCAGATTGCCTGTTTGAATGACGTTACTTCTTCTTCACAATAAAGTACATTCGGCTACTATTACACTGTTGAAATGATACTAATGTTATATTGTGGAATAACTCGACATTGATTCTGAATGAAATTCTGTGTAGACGGTTACTGGCTTGTGATGTTGCTGAATCAGCAATTTTCATTTCGTGAATTTGACAGTGAATTACGACTGCGAATGACTGATTATTGAACATAGTTTGTCGTTTAGAACGAGATTAAATGTTTCTTAGAACGAGGTTCGTTGAGATTAATTTTGAGGGAACGAATCTTTTTTTGTGTGTTTAGGAAAGGAATCTTCTCATAAACTGTCGTTAAAACGATCAACAATTCTACGTATTAATCGATGAAATGATTTCTGAACATGTTGCCATTTGAAAGAATATGAGATCGTAAATGGCATTCATGTATTTGAGGCGTTATTACAAGATCCAGTCTTTGACATTCACAAATGCACATGTAGTCTGCCTGGAGTTTGGAGGCGGAGTATTAGCGAGCGCAGCAACGGCATCCGTTGTGGAATTTGGAGCGCAGCTAGCTGGGCGCTTAGCACCTTCACTGCAAGAGTATCTTCTGCAGTCGCCTTCAATGGAGTTCCTGGATAGCTCAGTCGCACCCCGGACTGATGCAGTTCATGAGGCTGCATCCCTAAATGATACCAGCGCGGATATGGGAGCACAACCTGAGCTTATTCCTGTGCTCAATATGTTTCCGTTATTCAACTGGAGCACGCGACACATCATGCTCTACTCTCTCGTAAGTGTCTCTTTTTTCGTTGTCGTTATGTGTAACGACCTTCATCANTCGATTACAAGTAATGGTAAATGGAGAGTGTTTCTTTCCCTTGTGTTATCGTAAGTATTCTGATGGCGTTTTGTCGCTGATAGCTATGCTCATGAACGCTTTAGTGATGATCACCTAATCTCCTACGCATTCATTCATGGTTTAGATCCATTGTTATCATCACCAGTCGAACGCGCACAGTCATCGCAGTGCTCAGCATAAAACGAAGCGGCATTGTAATGCCCAGTGTAGATTTCAATTGACATGTGTTTATGTGAATGTAATGACTGCCATGTTAATCATACGACCTGTTATCATTTTCATCCAGCCAATATATTGCATTTTACAAGCTGTTTTATGATTTCCCTGGATATTGATTGCTGCATTACATATTACAAGTTTTCTTCATTGTCAGTCATTGAAACAAAAAATTTTCATTTCTTAATATTGGCGGGCTCTGCGATTTTTCAATCATTGATCTGATTCTGTGATTTTGTCTCCCTCCACCGTGCCTGCAGCTCCTCAACACTCTGCAATCGAATTGTTGAGGAGCTGTAGGCGCAGTGGACGAAGACAAAATGGCATGAGAATGGCATTATTGTCCAAGCATGAGCTTCGGTTATTGAACGTTATTGCGGTGGTTTGAACGAAGAATGAAAATCGTAAGGAGACTTGCTGTGGATCCACAGCTCATAAGTCTAAAATGATCGCCGCAAAGTACCAAACGTTAATTCTTCCTCATTGACCAGAATGATGACAGAACATCGCAACTGTAGAAATTTAGCCCACTCTTCTCAAAAGACCATTGACATTCGATCGCGCGCAATTTCTTGCTCTCGAAAAGTTGCACGACACTCAGGGTGTAACAATAAGATGAAGATTGCAAACTAATCCCGAACGGATTGAATTAATCGGGAAGGTTGTGAAGTCCGAAGCAAAAAACTTTTGGTACGTTGCATGTTATCCCCTGAAACATCTTGTTACGTTTGCTTTTGCTAAATCATATGTCACGTCACATCAGCTTTCCGCACAGACTCCTCAATGACCCCTATAGGTGCTTACTCTGGAACTGTTATTGTCTTCACCTGTCAGGACGATCGAGAATGACGAAATGACAACATACAAGTTAACGGTTATTTTCATGAGAACGAAAGCAATTTCAATTGTTTGATTCGTTTAAAGTCGAAAAAGTAGTGATATAGTAATAATAAATAATACAAAAATTTTGTAAACCTGGAGCAGCAAACGTTAAGAATTCTTTCCGTTCAGCTAACTATAACGGTGTTGGGGATCATCTGTCTTCATGAAATCCTAATTTTTCTGTCGTAAAGGCAGGTGCAGAGGTTTTGGCTAACGTAATGTAGGTGTAACGTAATCGTAATAATTCATTGTTATTGGTTCATCCCACTGCATTCAGGATATTCATTTGTTCCAGTGTTTATCTACAAAAACTGCGGCTGGGAAGCACTAAAAATTCCGAATGAGAAGCATATCTCACACCATTTATTAAAGTATGTCTTATGAAATGTGAGAAGAAATTCTCACTCGAAATGATTCTAAACGAAAAAATCATTCTGGCAAGAAAGCAACAAAATCAGTTCAGCTGAAGAATATTGCTGTAGTTTTTTGTTCTACTCGCTTCAATTTTCGACTTCCTTCGTTCAAGCAAATACGAGCATCATGATGGTACATCTCAATACGCCCACTATACATTAATTCAAACGTTTTCACTCTCCACCTGACTTTTAGATAGCTAATGTCGTTGATTTTTACATGATTCCGAATAAGTGAAACTCAGACTTGATGATAACGTGAACGTTTGAGACGTTATAAATCTTGAATTGAATGATTCTAACAGGGTTGGCATGAATTTCTAACTGAAAAAATAATTCGATCATATGAACGCTGTCACACGCACGAGTATTGCTAGGAAAAAAAATGCTCTCCACTAAAACACTTCAAGCTTAATACGACGTGAAAATCCTAACATAAGCATTCATTAATGAGGGATGCGCTTTTCGTCANACAATATTTTGCTCTCAGACAAAATATTGCCGGTTTAATCACAGATAAATAGCGTTATTTAGTCATGAAACAATTGCGCATCCATTTCATAGTGAATAATCTATAAGCAGAAAGTCGTTTTTGTGATCGACTCTTTGATAGAGTCATTCAGTGTTATTCTGTGATTTATTCGTGTGAATTATTTTTGTCAATATCGTAATGCGGCATGTTGATGATACGTGTTATTGCGCGATGATGGCACGTTGTACTCATGCATTGACATACGTCAACTATATTTATCCTCCAGATTGAAGGACCCTTTAGGAATTTAACACTTTTATCTCATTCAAGCATGAACTGCATGTTTCGCATTCAGTGGTCCGTTGTGTGGCACTTAGACATTATTATTAGCCGTGTCGTGCATTTGCGGATACTTAAGTGCACAAAATTTTTGAGTTGTTGAAAAGTTTCTTTAGAACGTAGCATTTCTTCATTCATCAAAGAATACTTACACTGTCTGAAAGGTTGTGATTTAAGGTTGTATGCATTTCTCACTAAAATATTCTTAAATGGTTCACTGCATCGTTTGGTTGAGTGATGTGGATACGAATAGATTGAATGAAAAACTCTCATTCGATTTTTTTCAGTTCATCTTGAAGCAACATGTAAAGAAAAGATCATACAGTGTTGTAATTGGAGTTGTACCGCTGAATGCTAAANTTTTTTTTTCTTTAGCCTAGTCTGTCACATCGAAAAAATATAAAGAAATTGTAGCTCTATGATATTTTCCATTGATGAATAGGTTTGACCATTTATTGAATTAATGATTGAGATAGCTCTGATGGAAATGTTTCGCTAATTAATTTGCATGTAGCAATGTGTCATTTGAATCGACTTCAATGGAGTCAGTCACTCACTCTTTGCGGATAGAATTCAAATAAGTCTGAAACAGATGAGTCAAATGAGTTATTTCAATGAAGCAAATATGCCTTTTGTTGTTGAAGGTTGTTGACATTCACATCGATGCTGCCGACAATTTATTACCGATACTTATGTGTAAATAACATGCTCGTTTAGCAGAATGCGACACCGTTCACATTTGCCATCGTTTTCGAAAATGAATGCCATTACAGCTCGCAGTAGCGGATTATTTTTTTATTTAGGGAATTCTATTTCCCGAAATTCAGCAAAGCGTGGTAAATCATTCGCAGGTGCAAATTAGTGTTCGTCGGGGAACGAGGTCCCCGTCGAGGACCCCGGCGGGGAA